TAAATACCGCTGCAAAATTGTCTTAATGAACTTCCATCACAAATTGTTGTCACAATCTGTTCTATGGCATATATTATTCACTAATACAGAGGTTTTTTGTATAGTAAACAGTGAAGGTAAAATTGTTAGCAAACAAAAAAATTGTAGAGTGAAGAAAAGGATATATATACTTTAGAAACAACACATTTTTAATAATATAAATAGGAACCTTCAAATACAGCATCGAAAAGACTTTAACGTAGAATTTTATTTTCGATTACCTTTAATTTTATATAGTGTTTATCAGAAACAAAAAAAAATTTTTATCAAAAATAAAAATACTTTTGTTCACGTGTGCGTTTGGTAGCTGTAAATGAATGCATCCTACACAGTAGCCCACATGTCGATTTTGGTTTTTTCTTCATTTTTTCTTGGCCACATAGCTGTTGTCTTCAAAACAATCAACGAGTTAGATGTTATTTTGTTTTTGGATTATTATTGATTTTGCCATTTTAGATTTGTCACTTTATCTAAACTATTTTAAATTTTCCATTTTCTGCCACTTAAAAGCTAGATTTTAGAGGAACTTTTACGATAAAATACATATTTGAGAATTTTATTCTCTTATGTTTCTATTTTTTCTATAAAATACATACTTAATTACAAATACTATATCCTTAAAAAAAATTATACAGTAGAACCTCTATAAATTAATACTCGATAATTTAATAAACACGATAAATTAATAAATTTTGGTGGTCCCAATTCGAACCAGTGTAAAAATTAACCAAATTCGATAAGATAATAAAATAATAAGTTTTTTGAAATCCCTATGTAGTGTTAGTGTTTTCATAAAATAGCCAAAAGTTTTTGTAAGTTTTCAAATTTTGAATATGCATAATGTTTGTTTTAATAGTCGTATAGGTTTTTAAAATACAACAATGGATGTCCCTGTTTTTTGAATTTTAATTTATGTATATCGTTTGTATATGTGAATTCTATAATCGTTGTTATTCATTGTCAAAAGAAATTATTTTCTCTTCGAAATATTAAGTGTTTAAGTTTAAAACTATAAAATTATAACATCCAAAACATTAATGTTATTTAGATTATATTGCTTTGGCTCATATTTTTTTCAAAAAGTTTTCACAATTGAAACAAAATTTCTATAAATTAATAAATATTCATTTACTCTATAAATTAATAAGTATTTATAGATAAACTAATAAGTATTACTTTATAGATAATTATATCACTATAAATTACTAAATTATCATGGTCACAACATTTTTAATTTATAGAGGTTTTACTGTACTGTAAAAAGGGTAGAACCAATTAACCCAATGTGTTAAGGGT